TGAAATGGTTTTGACACTAATTGAGAAGGCATCACCTAGGTGTTGCTCCCCCTAGCTAGCAATTACGACTTGAAGGATTGAATGACCGTGTGTGGTGAGGGGGTTGTAAACCGCAAGGAAGTCTAACAAATAGACAAAGCTACCCTCTTAGTCTCTAGGTCGAGGAAATGGGATACAATCCAAGCCACTAATGTGACCCTCTCAACCTATTGACTTAGGAATGGTTAGACTTCACCCTCAAATTGGAATTCGGACAGCCACACACAACCAAACCCTAGGTGCTAATACGAAATAGGAGGTTTTCTTTGCAGTAACCTAACTAGGAGGCAATGAATTGCCCAAGAAAACCTAGCATTCAAGCCTCTTTCAAAGAAAGGAAGGGGGGTTTTCTCTCTACCTAGGTTAGAATGACTATTATATTGATAGGCTTTCACACAACACAATCATTCATGAATAGTACCTCCACATTCACATTAATTACAACCACACAAAAATCATTCAATTCATACAAGCATTAACATAATTGTAGCTAGGGTTTACAAACAACCACGTGAAAGAAGGGACTTCTTTATTCTAGGAGAAGGGAAAACACAAGAGAGAAGAAAGAAAACCATCAAACAGATGCTAGCCTTGCTCCTTGTGTTGAAGAGATCCTCCTTTGGGGGAGGAATTCCCAAATCCTTGCTTGGAGATGAAACCCTAGCTTCTCCTCTTCTTTCGTTCGTCACTTTCTCACTCTAAAAATCTAAAGTATAAGAAATTTCTCACACTAGGTCTCCCCCCCTTTTCTTCCTTTCAGCTAACTCTTTATACTGAGATCGTGCCCAGTTCATGGCCCAAGTTCACGGCCGTGAACATCAAAATGCTTCCGCGAACACAATGTGCTGAACCAAAATGCACCGCTTCACTTATTGGGTTCACGGTTTGTGGTTGCAGTTCACGGTCTTAGCGACCGTGAACAACCTTGGCGTCAGTAACCTCAAAACCCCTATGGACGCTTCTTGGTTCACGGGGTGTGGTTCCAGTTCACGGTCCTGGAGACCTTAAACTCCAATGGTAGACCGTGAAGACAGGTTGGATCATCCTCTCTTGCCGAGTCTTTGCTCCTTTCTTCCAACTTTCGACTTCGGGGTTGGTTTCACCTGTTAGAATCTGAAACACAAGAAACCTAGCGTAAAACCACCCCATTTGGATCTCAATTGCAACAAATGTCAAAGAGAAACGGGGATAAAAAGTGTACAATTAGGCCTAAATCATGCCCCCGTCCTGTTTATCTGACGGATCGTTCTCATCTTCTGCTCCTATTTTTTAGGTTCATGTGCAACTGCTTCAAGGAGAAAAACAATTATTGGTCAATACATGACAAATTTTATCTGAACAATGAGTAATTAACTCGAAAAAAAGACATTAATACCAGGATTGGAATCCTCCATTGCGGCCATTAGTCTAGGGAGTAAAGCATAAGAGTCATCCCAATCACCATACACATCAGTCATGGAGTTCTGCTTTCCATTCCATGTCTTCTTGTACCTGATCGTGTAGGAATGTCGATCCTTCACCTCGGCCATGATAGTTTTGATCTTGATATCTGGTTGTGCCTCGATCAAGTGCTTAATGGTTCTCCCCACTTTCTTTGCTTTAAGTTGGCGGTGATCCTGGGAAAGTATGGACGAGGAGCATCAGTTGTTGTTCTCTGCTTTTCGAATGAACCAGAAACCCTTTCTGTTCATATTTACAGACCGCAGTTGCCACATACAGCCCTCTCTAACATTCTTGAATATGACCTGTAATTGTTTCTAGTCAGAATATTTTACCTTCTACTCGAAATTGCGATGCATTGCTTCTTTGCTAAAAGCATCTTGAATAGCTTATTTCAATGGGAACGCCATACCCACCTCCAAATTGGCTGTCGGATTATACATTAGCATAGGGACAAAGTCGGGGGCATCGTTTTGACTATATAAAAATTAAGATGGAACCTCTGTGTAGCATGGCGTTGGTGGCTCACAAAACGCCACCTCTTCGTCCTCATCGTCATTATCTTCCTCCTCGCTCATTGATCTCAAATCTTCATCACTTTCCTCGTTGCTGGATTTGAATGGATAGCTCGAGCTAGGAGGATCATCGTGACCACCATCACCCACATTCTATTCTCGCTCCTGTGAAGTACGGCCAGATCGAAGAGCACTTCTACTATGCTATAAAGTATTGGTGCTTTAATGTACAACTTAAAGTTGTACCATAACATTAAATGTATAAGTTCACGTCGTACCATAAAGCAATTTGTACCATCACATAAAGGTACAAATTTAAGTTGTACCATAAAAGAATCTGTACAAAAAGTATAGGTACAATCTGAAGTTGTACCATCACGTTAAAGGTACAATTTCAAGTTGTACCATAAAGGCAAAAACCTATAGCACCAATGTTATATAGAATTGTAAAATTCCTCCAAATCGAATGGTGTTCTCAATGTCAGCCCATTCTGGCCCCAAGCAGGCCATTGAATGTCGTCGGACTCAACAAATGGGGAAGATTCGGCACGTTGGGGATATTCTTCCCATGGCACCCCTCTTGCAGAACTACCTCCTCCATAGTTGCTTGAACTACCACCCCATCTGTACCCTCCTGCAAAACAATCATCATAAGAATACTAGTGAGAACGATTTTCACTAACCGTCTCGGTCTCAACATAGACCTCGTCAAGCCACATCTCGTTGTCTCCTAGGAACTGTAACATCATGGTAACTGCGTCATCATCGTTTATGACAAAGGCTTCGTACATAGCCCTGCCAGCACTCATATCTGGATACCGGTAGGTAATTTTACCAACTATTGTATGTCCACCCATACAAATCTTGTCTACACAAATATCACGGAGTTCTCGCCACGTGAATCTCGAATCAATTTTCAAATTATTGGATTCACCGTCTTCATAATCTGTCCCAATGTATGAGTTTATCACCTGAACATTCCACCAAATAAGAAGCTGAAACTTCTTGAATTTACTAATTTCTGCAATTTATAATAAGTAACTATTAGCTTAAATCGAATAAAATTAGTATAGTATAATTAGTTCTTGGGGCTACAGAAACATAAACCAAAACCATACTTTTAGTGCTACGAAAATAATATCATCCAAACTCATATACTAAAGCCACTAACTAATTGAAACATGAACCATAATTAGCATTACAATAATATGAGTATAGTAAAAAAATTCATCTAAATTCATAACTAACTAACATCAATCATACCATAATTAATTTAAATATCTCTACCTACATATATTTGCCACTAACAGTAATTCATTAAATACATACATATAACTACTAAACCATCAAAATCTAAACAATACGAAATTATATCATACCAAAATATTGGAACTTCTGTAACCGTAGTTGCTGGAAGCAGGCTGAGAAGGGGATTTTTATTTAAATTTGACATAAATGGGGGAGAGGCTACGCAGAAGCCGAGCAAATTATTTTTTCAACAACTACATGGGAGGGATATTTATTTGACAAACAGGGTTCATTCACCGTAGTTGTATAAAGCGGTGAAGGCATTCACCTCGTTGCTCTAAGGCGGTGAAGATTAGGTGGTTGTGACCTAATTATTCACCTACTAGGGATGGGAAACGTGGCAATAGTTCACCGTCGTAACCTAGCGCGGTGAAGGATTCACCAATTTGGACGACAGTGGTGAAGTGTTCCCCTCTTTATACAAATGAAACACCCTAACCCGGCAGGGTACTACTTTTACTAAAATGCCCTTCAATAAAATACTCCAATCTTAAAGTGCAGCGGAAAAAATTTTCGTAAATAAAATAATGAAAACACACACTTGTAGCTCAGAGTAAAGCCCTAACACGTGGGCAAATTAAACTCAAACATTAAAATCTCAAACAGATCTCCAGTCTATACTCATAATCATAAATGTAAATAACTAATAGTCTCTAATGTTGTTGCTACTGAAACCTTGACTAAGCATCCTCTGTGACGCTTATACTGCTCTCCTCTAGCTGGCTGCTCTCGAAGTCGCTGCTCACTAGCTGCTCCTCTAGCTCCTCAACTGGTGAGTGAGATGGGGTCAGTCTACGCCCTTACGTTTTAATAATTCTAATACTTGAGTACTTTACTTAAACACTTAACTCTGACTAGTGGAAGTTGTTTGTACTTTCAATCTTAAAATCTTAACTCTTACACTTTGAGGGAGTTGAAGTTACTCTCCTCTCTTAAAGCTCAAATCTTGACTTAAATCTTTTGACTGACACGGGGATCCCTCACTAGCTAGTCCGGTTGCCAACTCATACGTATGAGAAGCCCATCAGGCTTTCCTTAAACTTAAACTTAGTTAGGGAAATCGTAACGATTCATCCCCCTAACATCTTAAACTTATCGTGGTGGCTCTTCACCACGATTCTCAAGAGCATAACTGCTGCTCATCTTAAAAGTCTCAAGAGCATAACTGGTGCTCTGTCTCAAAGATCTCAAGAGCATAACTGCTGCTCTATCTGAAAATCTCAAATGGCAACGGACTGGCGCTAGTGACTAAAAACACTTAAAACGACTTCACCTTCTTTAAGGTGAGTTACTTCTTTGAAAGAACTTGTTTCTTACTCTTTATTAATAACTTATACTCGTAAAAATTTCAAAGTAATTAATAAACATTCACTTCAAGCATAGCTCAAACAAAATGACCTCAAATAGCACAAAATCATCTCAAACCATAACTCAAGCAAAGCACAAATAACCAATCATACACATAACCAAGCAACGATAACAATTCGCTAAAATACTTAAAATCATAATACTTAAAAGAATACGTAAGGCGTAGAATTTACCCCCTTTACACTCACCTTACTTCCGTCGGAACTGGCTTGATTTTTTCTCCAAAGTTTCCATACTCGCTTCCACATTTTACACTCGTACTTGGTTGAATAAAATTGGAGCACCGGCAACTGAAAATAAATGGACCGGCTGCATTCCTCGTATATGTTGAACTGGGAATATAATTTATATCTGAAGTACCATAAAAAGATTGATCAGTTTGAAAAGGGGGACCAACACCAAACATCTGATTCTTGATATTTGCACCAGAGGAGACAAATTGCTGGCCTAAATTACCAATTCGTGAGCCTCTATCTCGCCCACAACAAGCAGCTCATCCTCATCACTGTCGCTGTATCCTTCACCGGCTGATCAGGCTTATCCGGATCGCCATCCAAAATCACACAATCATCATCATCCTCAAAATCCCTGACCAGTTTAGACGATCTGCAGGACTTAAGCTTCAGCTTCGGGGGTGTGTACTCTCCAACTACCACCACACCATCGGAACCATCCATGTCTTTGTCAATCGCCTGGAGAAGCTCCTCCAGCCAATTGTGATCGTCTTCCCATGTGAACCGCCATTTTCTAGGGTTTTTGGGGTTCATCGTAGCCAACTTCTTCTCGGAAAAGGGTTTGGGGAAAATAACTAATGAGGAGGGTTTGGGATTGTGGCCGCTCGGCCCTCCCGTCCCATACTTTAATTTTTTTTAGATAATAATAATAATAATAAAAATTATGTTATTATTATTATTATTATTCCTAGCCCGCAATTGTAATCCTTCGTACGTAACCGTTAACCCAACCGTTCACGTATTCTGGTCGAACCTGAACCCAAAATTCGGGGTGTTACATTTCCTCCACCCTTATAAAAAACATTTCGTCTCCGAAATTTGTTCGTACCACACCCATCTTATACTTCTCCCCACGATCATTTATTCTTACCATAACCACCTCGTTGGTAACCCTTGATCATTTATAATTCCCTAGCTTGTAGCAACTGTGTAACCTTGAGTGGCTCACAACCTTTTTATTTCACAACTTGACCCCCAAACGTGGTGAACCAAAATGCCAATTTGGCTTGTCATGTTGATCCAATACTCCTGGTAGTTGATGTTGAACTTAAATCCAAAATCGAGATATCACATTCCTCATTTGCTTAAGAAAAATTTCGAACTTGAAATTTGTTCATCGTGATAGCTTAAAGTCTTACTTGAGGAATCCTTCCACTATAGGGATTCATACTTTCGATACTTTGTACGACCTTCAGCTATGAATCTTTCCTCCAATTTGTTGTGGTACTTGGCTGACTTATAACTCACCCATTTCTCATAAACCACATACTCAGCTAGCTACTTGCTCAACGCAACTATGGCACTATGGCACTCCCCCTTCATAAGCGCCATTGATACTATAATGGATTCTTACTTTACGTTGCTCTCAGCGGTTTGTCTTGGGTCTCTACTCCGGATTTCTTAAGAAACATTGAGGAAATAATTTCTTAGACAACCCTATTCAGGATATGACCCGTCGTAACTTCATTTCATAAGGTGCTCAGACCTTGAACTACTACGCTTTCCATATCTTGACTGCTGACATCTCAACTCGAATTCTCTAACATCGAACTCCGTAGCAAATGCTTGACTTGGTTAATGGCTTATTCTAGGTCGCTCCCTAGGTATTGCTTCTTCCCCCTCCGTAGACCTAATTATTCCCCTGTTTGATAGCTCCCCTTGATGCACAACTTGATGTTGGACTCACCATATATTGTGCCTTTAGCATGGGTCAATCCCTACATATCCCTATTGATATCCGTAATACCCCTTTTTAATCCTAAGGTTACTGATGGCGGTTTAACCTCCTTCTGGTTAGATCACAAAAATCTTATAACGTAACCTTGACCGTGGTTGACCATGTAGGTCACCTAGGTCCTTGTACCTTCTAACTTTAAATCTCTTACTTCCTTACAAGATGCTTCGTCTCTCCCTTTAGCCATCAACAGAATGGTCATATCCTTGTTACTTCTTGCCTCACCCTGAAACCTCCCACTACTGCTTTTGCTTCCTGTATGCATTGAAGGCATCGTGTGCATCTTTCTCTAGCTTGCTAACAACTTTATAACTCCCTTCAAGAATCATGACTTTGGCTTACTTGTTCACTCCTGGCGCCTAACTTAGCACTTCCTTATCGCCGCCTAAATCTGAAACTCTCGTACTATCCATTCTGCCACTCTTAGATCCTAGCTGAAACTCCTCGTACGGTTTCCCCGTCCCATAAAGTCTTACCTGAGAGATTGACACCTTTCACCAGCATAGGCAATCTTGATTTCACTTTGGGGTATTCTAGCAGGTTTCCTAAACTTATATCCCTCTTACTTCGTTACTCGTGACTCTTCTTCTTGATGTTCCTTTCTAGGTTTAAGTGTCCCTTGTTCACGCCGTAGTCCTCCAGGTTCCTATTTTCACTTCTCACTCATGTACCTTGGCCGTTAAGGTTTTCCCTTCGACTATCTTTGACGACCACGATTCCACCTTAACAATTGACTGAAATTTCTCGATTGACTTCCTATGGATCAATTTTTCTCTACTGGTAATCAACCTAATGCTTTCTTGTTGCCTGCTGTACTACTGCTTTGGCCCGTCCTAGCTATCTTCCTTGACGCATACATCGTTCGGTCGACGACCACCATTTTCTTTCTGTATCATCCTATGGTGTTCTTCTTGTTTCCTTACTTTTACTACCACCAAACTACCACTCTTCTGTTGTTGCTTGTACTATATTTTGTCACCAACTTCTGTTGAGTATCTTCTCGTTGTTGTTTTAGGTCACAACTTCCAATGGTGGCTTGCCCTTGGTAACCTTTAACATAACTCATTCCATGTCTCTTTTGTTGATCGATCCCGTACATAAACTTAGTCTCTTAGTTAGGATTCTTAGTGGCTTAACTAAGCGTGCCTGTTTCAACCTTAACTAGCTATCTCCGCTGGAGCCCTCCTACTATGCCGCGCCCACTCAGAGTGGGGCACCTTGGATAAGGTAACTTCTCTTTTTCCCCTTCTCTGTAATGCTTTTCCTCATCGTACTTCATTATGCATTTTCTTGAACCCAAGTCACCTACACATATTCTCAATCCTTCATCAAAACTTCCATGTGCTTCCTCGAATTCTCTGCTATTCACTAGAACATTTTATTGAATGTTCCACTTACTTGTCTATACTCGGTTGGCTTAATGACTTAATCCTATAGCTAGTTCCGAGACTTCAGCTCTTAGCCCTCTAGTTCGAACTTAGTAGAGAGGTTCCTCCTTCTGTCACCCTCATGTACCCTAGGCGGCTAGGTGCTCCCTCGATTTAGGGGAGGACAATCCCTTAACAAATCATCGTGAACTCTTGCATTCCCCTTTCAACAGTCCCAACGAGCTCCAAACCTTTCATGATCTGGGTAGTTTGTAGAGTCTCTCATATCTCAATCCATCCTCTTTCTAGCTCAACATTGTTCACTAGCACATTGTTATGTTTTTTATCCAAGCTCTTCCTCTACCTCGATCATCTTGACTCTTGTCTTGTTACTTTCAAAAGCTTGATATCGGCCTAATTCCCCAAGGTCATGTACCCTATTTTAGATGACGTAGTTTATCTACAAGGGTTCCTTCAACGTCATATGTAAATGACCATGCCTCCTCTCCTTCTTAAACTTTTGACTTTTGACGTCCTTTCAGACCCCCCTCTAACCTACTTATTTCCTCCTTTACCTCATTTATACTACCCTAGCTTGTCTTGAAGTCTAAGCTTTCCACTGCTCCTTGTCACTGTGTTGTAATAGCGTTGACCACTAAAACTAGTTGAGGGACTTCTCGTTGTACCTCTACGTTTCTTGGCTTGTTGCTTCCTCGCCACTGCCTAGGGTCAAGGGCCCTGAAATCCTCCCATCATTATAGCTACTGACATCTAGTGATTGTAGCTCTTTCTTCGGAGATTCATAGTTCTCCTATTTGTTTTCTTTTGCTTATTAGATCCTCTCCTTGCTGCCTAGTAGTAGAATCCTCGTACTACTCCTTCAACTCCTTCAAAATCCTAGAGGTATTCCCTTACGATTGGAACCTCTTCTATTAGAACTTTAGTTATTTACCTTAATACGATTAGAGTAGACTGGAGATTCTATAGACTCTTAAAAGAATATCCTCGACTCATTTCCATTTCCTTTAAAACAAAACCTTTAAAAAAACTGAGACCGAGATTCCAGTATTCCTTGGAAACCAAGGAACAGAGGAAGACCGACTCTGATACCAAAATGGAAAACCCTAACCCGGTCGGGTACTACTTTTACTAAAATGCCCTTGATAAATAAAATAATCCAATCTTAAAGTGCAGCGGAAAAAAATTTTCATAAATAAAATACTGAAAATACACACTTGTAGCTCAGAGTAAAGCCCTAACACGTGGGCAAATTAAATTCAAACTTTAAAATCTCAAACAGATCTCCAGTCTATACTCTTAATCATAAATGTAAATAACTAATGTTGTTGCTACTGAAACCTTGACTAAGCATCCTCTGTGACGCTTATACTGCTCTCCTCTAGCTGGCTGCCCTGGAACTCGCTGCTCACTAGCTGATCCTCTAGCAAATGGCCAAGTGTAACTACTTCCTCAAGCGTAGTATAGCGGGTTTGGGTTTTAATGTCAACCCGGGTCCTAGATGTGATGACTACTCAGTGAATTCTTATTATCTAGCGGTGAAACTTTAGTGCAGGTTCAAACAAGCAAACAAGCAAGCAATTAAACGGTTGTTTTCAAGTCAAGAGAGGTCACCCGGATATGGTTTCCCCTAGACTGCAGTTAAGCCGGATTGCAATTTACCAAGTTCAGTTTCTATGATAGTTATACTGCGGGAGGTTCTTAAACAGTCTGAAGTCTCGACTACAGGTCTCCAGACCCTCTCAATCTGAGTCTCCAGCGGGCGACTAACCTCTACCAGAGTAAACAGATTGAGGCCCTAACGAATAAAACCTCCACTACCGAAGTAACTCCGGTACAGAATAGTGAATTGGCTCCTCGACTAAAGTCGTCAATTCACCACCTTCAATTAAGGGTACTCTATCAACCTAGGCAGATATTCTCTTCCTAGGTCAAAGAAGAAATTACAGGAATTTGATCAGGATTCATGCCATTCAATCATTCAAACCTCAATTGAATATAATCAAATCATAGAATCTGTACTTGGGTTCATACAATCAGACCTAACATACAAATCTAGGGTTCTCCATACCCAGATGAATAAGAAAACTACTCCATGGAGAGAGAAGCAAACAGATTCAGATGCGGAAACCATACTATGAAGGATGGGTTTCTGCTCCTGGTTGTCGATCGACACTTCTCCAAGCTCAAGACGGGCTCCAATGCTGATGAAGATCAAGCTAGGGCACTTGGGAACTCTAGTTCGTCGCTTTCTCTCTCTCGGAATCGCTCTGTCTCTCTAAAACTCGGAACTCCTTCTCTTTTGGATCAAATCTGCCTAAAAGGGCAACCCTGGGTAAAACATTGTCGAGGGCACGACCGTGCTTTGCTGCTGCCCGCCCGTGCCCTTGCCACGTGTTAAAAACACGGCCACACCTAGGGGAAAAC